TGGTGTAACGGTTAGCACACTCGGCGCGTATTCAAGAGATTCAGGTTCGAGTCCCGGTGAAGGCGTTGCTTATTTTTCACGTCTCCAGCATAAAAAAAATCCTAATGACTCTACAGTGGCGCCTGAACTAAGAAACAATGCGGTGGATAATGATTCTACACCATCAGGATTTAGCAACTGGGTCCCCTAATCTCTTTAAAAGGAAGAGTATATAAGATAAGAATTGTAGGCTCCCTTCAGCCCACCTGGACACGAGTGTCCCCATAGCTCAAAGGAAGGGGCTCCGTATCCCCACAAACGAGGGCAGCCAGTAACCCGCCACCCCAACAAACAAAAAAAATAAGTAAGCACATCTAACACAAAATTACAAACCAACATACCCTCCCCAAAACCCCATAAACACAAATTCACAACACAGAACATCATAGATATCTGTGGAGTATTATAAGGTATTTTCTCCCTCCTTCCAGCATCCCTTCGTGGTTTAACGGTTAGCACACTCGGCGCGTATTCGAGAGGTCCAGGTTCGTGTTCCGACGAGGGCATTTCTCTTTTTACACATCACCAGCATAAAAAAATTTCCTAATGACTCTACAATATCTGTTTTCTGCTGGGATACATTTTAGTCAACGTTGTCAGCAATAAAAGTTAAACAACTGATGGATTTTGTCATTCCAAATGAATGCTTAATGAGCAGTCATTAACTGAAATCTTTAAATACAGTCATTTCAAGAGCTGAAATCCTCTTTGTCTGATTGTTTGGAAAGTCTAACTCTTTTGTAGCATTGCAAGATGTAGTGGTCTTCTCACATAGCAAAGAAAGTCCTTCTGGATATCATATGAAATTGTGCAGCTTTACTTCTTCATAGATGCTTTGACACCTCTTCTGGGGCCCATTCTTTAACTCTTGATTGTTTATTTATTTCATTTTTGCTTGCGGAAGTTGGTTTCTTTTGACAGTAGATTTACCTTCTTCATATTAATTCTCTAATTCTTCTACCCTCAAAATTTAATCGTTTGACTGCTAAGCAATTCTTGCAAGAACGCACGAAAACAGCGGGACATATTTTGATTTGATGTTGTCAAATAATGCCGTTGAAATACAGTATTTGCATGTTTGACAAGCATATCAAACCTGCCACACGAGTCATAATTCGGATGGCCTGGTTCAAATAATAACGTATTGTCAATCAAGTGAAAAAACTTCAAAATCAGTTGAAACCTATCCCTTGAAAACATTGTCCTAAACCATGGTATATACGGGAACCTTTTATCCAATAACTATCAATTGTTTGCCTCCTTGTGATCCCCATTTCGAGTAAGACTGCAATAAAGGCTTTTATTTCATATATTGTTGTCGGCATCCACTTTTTTGCTCAAGAATTATTCGAAACAGTGTACGAGGCAAAAAACTGGGTAGCATATCGATTTGTTTCCCTTATGATGGTTTCAAGCAGTGATGTGGTAAAAAATAAATTGAAATATGTTATGGGTGGCATCGGGGGAGGGCACATCTAGGTCCAGGTTCGAAAAAATATTTTTGCTTTGAACACATTGCGGAGGAATTTTGTAAACGTGTGTTTTCTGTTTGAAGGAGAAGAAGACTCACTTCAATCCTCGTCTTTTCTTATGATTATAATATGCGATCATTACTTGTTCGTTCTTTCACATCCTCAGAATCACTAGCATCGAATCAACTTGTGTCTGTTTTCAAACATCCTCAGAATCCTAGCATCGAATCAACTTGTGTCGTCTTTCACCATCCCAGAATCACTATCAACAATCAGTCCGAACATAGTCCGTTAAGGTTATTTTTAAACTAATATATAAAACGGTAAAAAATGTTTTGAAGCACTCGTGTACAAATGCACTTGAGGTCAGACTACGTCACACCACGGAGCCACAAAGAACACGACTCGGTCGCGTTTTCGAGACAATGAACGCAGCACTTTTGCGCCTCGTAGCAGTCAAACGTAATTACAGCTTTCAGTTTTTATAATCGCACAGTATGTATCTGTTCAACAACAATTAATAAATTTTGATAATCTAAATGATAAAATTATTTTTAAAGGTTTTATATTAATTTATTTTTTTTTTTTTTTCATCAACTTCACGCTTTGGGGTACCATCTGTTAACATTGAAACTCACTACGAGAGTAACGCTGCCTGTATATCTACTTACTCAGCAAGGATTCTGTTCATGGAAAATAGCATAGAAACAACTTGAGCATTTCCTTCGTGCTTCAGCAGCTTGTTTTAAAACGATTCAATATTCATTTTAAATATTCCTCAACACTTTCAACTATACAGTTGTGTCTTGAGCGACTTATATTATTATGTATAACTCCAAATTAAATATTTGGTTTTAGTGTACTTATCCTCAAATGGTAAATGCGATATTATTTCCTTTTCATATTTAAATTAAAGATTGCGCAGCTGAAAATTTGTTCAAGGGTGTCTACAGATTTCTGCTAGCCTCTGTATAAACTGCTTTGGGCAAGTTCGTGTTTTACTTTTTAAGTCTTTAGTGATTTTTGTTTTCTCTACAAAATGTGTTTCTTTTCGTACTGGTGAAATTTCGTAAGAATAGAATGCAAACGGATTCATTCATTAGATATCATGTGATTCTTCTTCCAAAACAAGTGAAACACACAAACTCTAAAAGGTTTTTCTGAACCACTTTCTGTTACTTTATCACTGCTCCCTTCCCCTTCGGCCCTTTCTTAAAGTAGGGGGGTGATACAAATAGTCGGTTTTTTCGGTACAAATAAAGAGGGAAGCGAAAAGACAGACAGCTAATAAAAAATGACATATATTGATCCAAGTGAAAACTTTCCTGCAAAATATTAGAATCATAACGAAAGTGCCTCGGACCTGTAAATTTAATTGTCCTTACATGCGATTTTAATATTATATCAAAGCTACATGTGAACATATGTATGTGTGGTGTTGTGTGTGACAATCTATCTTAACTAGATACCTACAAGTACCAAATCAATCTACATGTGCCCAATATTTGCTGGCCTGAAATCAATATATCTTGTACATTGCGTTGAAAGAGTAATAAAATACTTTACTTACTCATAATAATGTCAAAAAGACTTGAGAGAACAACTTGTTTGCTCAATCTCACTTTATTGGATTAATTATTAATATTTAATCTGGATTAAATATTCAACTTGAGAACACAGCACACAAAAATATAAGAACACAAGAAACGGAAGAACGCGAAAATGGAAAGACGGCGCCGTTTAACGAAGATCGAAAGCAAAATTTCAAATCTGTTGACATCGTGCACTTGCCTACTGAAGTATTTTACTTAAATCACACATATTGCAGTGAGTTTACATACGTGCAGATATTTCTTTTACACACATTTCTGTTCATCACGAGGTAACTACAATAGGATGCGAGCCGATGACAATGGCAAAATTTTGATTCGAAACACACATAATCTTTACTTGAGGATGATTAAATATTCGCACAGCATAAGCAGTTAATTTCCAACCTAATCATTTTAGCTATTGTGCATTTTTAGGCTTCACTCCGTCTTTGCCTCAAAAAGAACATCTTCCTGAGTGTGAGATATGCAAGCGCATACTCGTGCGAGCCGAGTCAGCAAGAGTGGGTAAAACCCAGTTTGGGGGGGCGTGTTTATATATCACGTGCCTTCTGCGATACGTTAATGTTACGATAGTGTCCATGCTGATGAACTGCGTGGTGTGAGAAATTTCCATTCTCACAATGAAATCTGATACATTCGAGTGAAGCTCCAAAACATGTGACACTATAAGCATGGGGACCACGTAACTGGGGAAAATTATAATTAGGTTTGACAGTATTTTTTAATAATACATGAGGCTCTCTTTTGGTATTTCTTCCATTTCCTAGATCAGTGGTATCCAAACCTTTGCAGGGTGGCAGTATTTGGAACAATAAGATAACATGTGGACCCAAAGTAGCACTCATAACAAGTTTGCTAATGATGTATTTCTATTCAATGAAATTTATTTACAATTTTTCATCAACCTTGCGTCCTCAATGTAAGTTTCGTCGACCTATAGACTGACAACCATTGCCATAGTTCATCTGAAACTTACGCCAGCACTAGAAGAACAGAAATTTCTAAGAGCTATTATTTTGTGCAACATATTTCTTTTTTCTAGAATAAAACTGATTATATTACACAAATTGCTTTCAGAATTTTTATCAATAAGTAGCAGTTGCAAAATAAAATACATTAAATCTGAAATGTTTTAACGATCATTCTAATTTACGTCTTGTAAATGTAAATGTAACAAATGTGTGATTATTAGAATATTCCTAAAATTTAATTAATACGTTATTAAAACTTTAAACTTTGAACATATAAAAATGAATTTCCATGTATGAATAAAACTAGATAATTGCATTTTTTAAATTATGTCAACAAAATCAGTGGTAATTATCGATAGCTTAATCCTTCGCATAATAATACAAAGCAACACTACTAATGTTATTGACATAGACAGAAAGAGAGAAAGAAGTAAAACTCGGAGAAAATTATAAATTGCTGTTATTTATGTTATAAGGTATTTCTCCCGCTTTCTGCGTCCTCGTGGTAGTGGTCTGCACGCGCGCCCGTATCCAAGGTCCGTGGTTCGATTCCCGGCGAAGGCGTTTGCTATTTTTCATCTTGCCTGCTTCCAAAAAATTCCTATTGTCACTACAGTGGCGCCCGAACTTAAAAGGATGTTGGATGATGATTCTAACCCAGGATTTGACGATTGGGTCCCCTATAAATCCCAGTCGCCCTTTTAAAAGGGGGAATATACAAAGCATTTCTCCCACTTTCCTAGCGCGATTTCGTGGTGTAGTGGTTCTGCACACTGGGCCGGTATTCCTGAGGTCCATGGTTCGATTCCAGGCGAAGGCGATCGCTCATTTTTCATTTCTCTGACTTTTGAAATTAACCTAATGTCTTTACAATGTATAATAGGATTTTCTATAATTTTTTTCAGTGTGCCGCTCTTCAAGCAGTAACTCAGATATCTGATATTCTGGAAGAACAAGCAGTGCGAAAGATGGTTCTGCCAAGAACGAAACAAGTGTTTGATAACAACTCAGGAGTTAAGGTAAAATTTAATTTAATTTGCTCTGTAAATGTACATCTTTCGTGGACGCATTTTCCCATGTTTGATGCAGCTGAAATTCGTTCCTTGTTTGTAATGTACACAAACTTTTTTCTCCTCTGTGCCTTGCTTGTTAGTTGCTTGAAACAATACCTTACACTGATTGTCATCTTCTCGAAAATAATCAATACATAAAGGTACTACTTTCCTTTCACAGCGGCACTGATTACAAATAGCTAACATTCCCGGAATTATTAAAGGTTCGTTTTGGTAAAGGTAAATACAGGGCTGTAATAGATAATAGATTTCGTCTTTGAATCATTTTAAACCTAAAAATTGCTTTCTAAATATTTAGAAATTAACATTTGCGCGGAATGAAGTTTGGCATTTAGGCTAAAACTATGATATTTGATAAATGACAATATCTAGATGAAGGGGAATCTTATGTCGTGGTCTGGCAAAAATATTTTCAATCATGTAACTTAACATTAGCCCTTAAACCATTCAAACATTCCTGCTAAATATTCAAACATTCCTGCTGTCTCATTGCCCCTAAAACATTCAAACATTCCTGCTAAATCGTCCCTAGTTTGTCGCTATATTCTCTAATCTAGTTTTATAATAAATGTATATATGTATTTAACCGAGTAAATTTGTTTACAACGTCATATTTACAAAATTAGCGATAACTGCACTTGACATTTTTCGAGGCAGCTAGCTTATGGATGTGGAATATGCAAAAATGCAGAAAGTGAAACATATTACGAAAGGAAGCTGCTCCTAAAATATACCAAAATGTAGTAGAAAATACCATGAAGATAAAATACCTAGAAATGCTTATTTGTCGAGTCCCACCTAATTTCTAGATTCCAGGAAAGCATTTAAGCGCAGGTTTTTTCATTTAGCTTAATATGCAAACCTCAGATCAATAAGCCATATATCGCTTACGTTGTTTATCAATATTGCATGAAAACAACGAGGAAAATTCAGAACTCTTGTTACTTTAGTTTTAATATTGGTAGAAACAATATGGTAGGCAGCATTTTATTCAACAAAAGTTCCATTAAGATTAATGGAATCCATCACGAATTTTTCCAGAGTATACGTTTATTCACAATGAATCTGAAAAATAAGACTCCATTACCGATAACAGAATAATATTCTGTGCTTAAAGTAAAAACGTTCTTGATTCAGGAAGTAATTAATGTAAAATGTCGCAAAAACCCAAACTACATTGCATGCTGTTATTTGCTTTCTATTAAATATACATTACGTAACAGCTTCTCTAATATATGGTTATGCTCTTAAATATTTTTATCTGAAATACATATTATTACTTAACAGTTTCTCTAGTATGGAATATCTTTTGTCAGAACACTCATCGTGTTTTGAAAAAGTGAGCTTGCGGTTAACAGACTCTGAGTAAGCTCTCAGTTAAGCGCAATTTATCTACAATGTTTTAAATTCAATTTGTAATTTTAAAAAGTAGGCTAAAATGGCTCAAAATTTGTATGTTTTTAGTAATAGAAAACGTACTAACCCGCTATTCCGTTCCGTGGCACCAGTTTCTGTGAACGCTAGAAAAACGCTACGTGAAAAGCAAGAACAAACAAAGGATTTTGTAAAGCAAGCAGGTTTTTTTCAAGCGATGTCATAACTAATCTTTGGAAGAACTGCAAAGCGAGTGATCTTAAAAGCAAACAATAATTAACATGAATTGCACAGCATATCTGCTGTGATGAAAAGTTGCTTAATACTGTTGTGTGACCTACATAAAAATGGCATAGATATTTGATGCAATTCAAGAGTCTTTTATAAATCCTATTGGTTTCTAATTATTAAGAAACGAATATATAATGTGGTATTTGTAATAGTTTGGTGTTAGCTTCAGGGGTCCGAAAGAGTGATTCCATAGTAAATAAGAAATTCAGTATGAAACATTAAACAATTCCCCTCTTTTCCAGGCACATATGTCTGCAAAATTCTATACTGCATCGCTTTCTGAAAACTGTTAAATATGTTTGCGGTTAAAAAAATGAAACATCGCTCTTGTCTTACGCCTGAATTCCAGAAAACGCGCTTGACTTATCATACTATCATATTGTATGGCCTCAAATAAGGACAAAATTGTATCAAAAGAAATTTAATTTGGGTGGTCTTAGTGGCTATGTTTGATAAGATCGCTGAAAAAGATTTGATTTTCTTTAAGTGTAGTAGTAGTAGTAGTAGTAGTAGTAGTAGTAGTAGGTGGAAATGTAACTTTGTGGCTAGAGGCGAGGAGTTAATGCTGGTATTGAAACATTGTTAGCCTTTATAATTGAAAGTGTTTAGACCATATAATATCACCAGTCTTTGAGTCATAATCTCATATTACTTTCTGCTTCTTAGAAATGAATCTTCACCTGCACTTGAACAGAGTAACGAATGCTCGATCCGAACAAGTATAACTTCAACGTTTGAAGTTTTTGTTGCTGTCGAAATTCCTGTGCCTGGTTTGCATATTCTATAGACACAAAGTCTATGGAAAATACACTGGTGTGCAAAAAATAAGGACGAAGTCGAAAAA